CAGGTACCAGCTGGAATCGGGACCCAATTTTGGTGGGTGACACACAGACCCCGACTGAGATCAGGGCCCCGTTGTGCCGAGCGTTGCACAGACCCTGACCGAGATGGGGGCCACACACACAGAGGGAGAGACAGTCCCTTTCCCAAAGAGCTCACAATCTAAAAGGGTGGGAGGGGAAACTGAGGCACAGAGCGGGGAAGTGAGTTACCTGACATCACCCAATAGAGCCAGGAACTGGACCCAGGTGTCCTGACACTCTTCCCCCCCCCGGCCAGTGATCTACCCACTGCACCGGACTGCTTGGCCTGGCTGTTTGTCGAGGTTTCCCATAATAATGGTACGGGCACGGGCTAGATAAGACATCAGACGGTGCTTGGTGGAGGGACACCTCGTCTCTCACCCGGCTGCGCAGGCTCTCTTGGGGTCACCTCCTCTGGGATTCCTGTTCCCGAACCCCATCACAGCTCAGGACAGGGGCATGGTACTTATCTGTGGTTTGGTGGTGCCCTCTATTGGGACAACATCAGCATTACTTCGTCCTCTCCCCCCCCCCCCCCCCCAAGATCCAGGCGAGGACGAGGGGGACAGGCAGAAAACGGCTTTTGGCCCTGGACGAGGTGTTTGGATGGGGGTAGAGAAGCGCCGTCGAGCTGAGCGGAGCCGGGCCTGGCTCGGCCGATGGGGGGCGCTTGGATCGCACGGCGCTGGGAGCCCTGAAGGGAAGATTTGGGTTTAAACTGGGTGGGGCATTCCCCAGTCCCCAGCACTGATTTCCCCCTCCACCCCTGTGCCCGTTCCCCTGGAGATGCCAATCCCCAGTGCAGCACACCTTTGCCAATGCAACCTGATGCCATGTGGACAAAGGTGGTTAACTGAAACCACTGGAAGAAGAACAAGAGTACTTGTGGCACCTTAGAGACTAACGAATTTATTTGAGCATAAGCTTTCGTGGGCTACAGCCCACTTAGGTGGCTAAATCCCTTTGAGGATCTAGGCCTAAGTGCCAAGCGAGGGGCCCTCTGCCAAGCATACTTTGCGGGTGGCGCAGGGCCAAGAAGCCGAGCCTCTCGCATGGACGTGAGGATATGTTTTGGTTTAGCTTAAGTTGATGGTAGGAAGGGGTTCCAGCTAACGCCAAGCACGCCGCTCTTAAACCAAATAAGGGGGCTCCCTACACGGACACTCCCGGTTTAGGTAAACAAAGACACCGCTGGTTTTGTCTGGACTCGAAATGGGATTGGGCTCTGCCGATAGACAGGGCAAAGACGCGATGAATCGGAGGTGCTGGGGGCTCCCAAACTTGCATTTTACCTTCGCGCTCACCCCCCGGCTCCTTCCCGCTACCAGTTAAGAAATAATTGATTAGATTTTTGCTCCTCCCCACGAAGTTCTTTCTAGAAAGCTATTTTTAGCCGCAATTAACCTTTCGCCCCCCATTTCTAGGTTAGCTGGGCAAGTGCTGGAGGCCGGAGCCAATTTGTTTAATTAAAGAGAATTAAGGGAAGAAGTGTCCCCAATTGAAGCAGGAAAAATCATCTGTTTTTAAGGTAGTTTTTTTGGCCACGGGTGTCACATGGAATTAGCAGAGAATGAAGGATGCTGGGTTGGAAGAAAGGGGGCTTGTAATCCTGATGAAAACAGAAGAATCTGGGCTAATGGGTGATTGGTAGGGTGGGTTTTTTCTCTTCTCATAGAGGCTTTGTGTCAGACTTCCCAGTCAGAGGCCCTAGGAGAAACGTCTCATCTGTTTTTCCAGCACTCTGATCCCTAAAATAATCCATATAACAGGTACATAGTGTTTTCAGCCCCAAAATTCTACACCCAGATCGCGTCACCTGATGCCGAGATGCGGCTGACTCTGGAATGTGGTACAACAGCCATTTATACAAGGTCCCTCACCCAGCACTGAGATGCAGTTACCTCTGGGGTGGAACAGGGCAGCTGTTTATACAGGGATCCTTCACCCAGCACTGAATTGCAGCTGTCTCTGGGGTGGAACTTGGCAGCTGTTTATACAGGGATCAAATGCAGCCACCTCTGGGGTATCTCCTCATTTGAGAGCCTGCCAGCGTTAATTAAGGGCTTGTCCACATGGGGAAATTTACCCGCTGAATTACAGCAGTAAAATAGCACGATCATTATATCCGTATGACTCGGCTGGGGCATTTCTGAGGCAATGCATCAAGACGGACTGGATGGAGTAGAAGGACTTGCAGAGCCAACCCCACTTAGATGGGACTAAGCCAGGAGAAGAAGAGACGTGAGAAGCTAAACTGGGAAAAGGCACTCAGCCCGGAATAAGAGTTAGACCAGTCTAGAACTACAGTGGTATAATTATACCGGTAAGTTTCCTCGTGTCGACAAGCCCCGAGTCGTTAATTAGAGTAGGGCCCGAGCCATAAAGCCAGCGTGTAAACTCCCCTACATTTCAGGGGGGTTGGGATCTAGGGTTTTTGCCCAGGACCATCTTTACCCAATAGTGGACTCGGAAGGGGGGGGGGCACTTTAAAGATGGGAAACTGAGGGACAGAGCAGGGAAGTCACCAGCCAGAAATCAACACTGTGAGTCTGGTGCCAAAGCGAGGAATAAAACTCCGGAGTCCCGACTCCCAATCCCTCCATTCTCCCCACTAGAGCCCACTCCCCTTTCAGAGCTGGGGAGAGAACCCAGAAGTCCCAGCTCCCAGACCCACCTTGCTCTAACCGCTAGACCCCGCTCCCCTTCCTTAGGCACGAGAGCATGAAGGGATCTGAGTGTAACAAGCCGGAAATGCCTTACCTGGCTAAACCAGGCCAATGCTTCAACATCCTTCAAAGGAGCCCACAAAAGGACACAGTTCTGTCCCGCTTTCCCTGGCGGGGCTAATTACCCCTAACGAGGGCCATTAGCGCTAATCACCTATTTATAGCACATGTTGGAGCATTTCTGGTGGCAATTGGGCCCAGATGGCTCTGACTTCAGCAGCCGGGGGATCAGGCCCATGATGCAAAGCGCTACTGTCCCCCCCGCCCGCCTAGGGGAACCCCCTTCTCTGTTGGCACTTGCCCTGTAGTGGGGATGTGAAACATACAAGCCATCCGGCCCCTGGAGTGACCGGGTCCAGAGCGTACTTGTAACACACAGGCAGTTTCTCCGTTCTCCGGCACCCAGTCCAACCATTCACCCCAGTGCTCCGTGGCTGTAAAACATTACCCAGGGAGCATTCTCCACTCGTTTGATGTAGGGTGACAGAGAGCCAGTAGGTAAATCGTGTCTAGCCCTGGGATTTGCCCTAGTTCAAAGAGAACCCAGGCACCCTGCTTCCCATCTGCCCTGCTCTAACCACTACCCATCCCTCTAGCCCCTAAGCAACGCTTAACCCTTCCCTCCTGGCCTCATCCCAGCTTGGCTCATTCCGTTTCTGCCTCCCTGAATTCCCTCCTGGCAGCTGGAGACGCGACTCTTCCCCGCTTGCTGTCCCGCGGGGTTTGCGGCGCGGCTGTTGTAAACAGCTGCCGTGTCCTGCCCCAGAGGCAGCTGCATCATCGTGACAGTTTCAGTGGTGGGTCCTGACTGTGACCCGCTTTGGGAGGGGAGACACTGGAGGGGTGGTTGAGAGCCTTACAGTCCGTCTGCGGGGCTCGGTTTGTCCTCTGGCCTTTGTTTCTTCCGGTGGGAATTCAGACCTGGCTGGCTTCTTAGTCTCTACAGCTGAAAAGCCAGCATGGAAATCGAAGCTACCGGCCGCCGGGCTGAAAGCAGCGACCGTTATCTCTCCGCGAGGACGATAAATGGCAGCTCCTGATCAAAAGGAGGCCGGGACTGACAGCGCCGGCTGAATGGAGAGCCGCGTCTCTGGGGTCAGGGCTGGACTGCACCGGCGACGCTAGGCTGCTGCCGCGGGGAGATAATCCTGGCAGCGCGGCGAGGAGGCTGCGATGCGCGTTTATCAGCAGGCCGTTGCAACGGGAGCCGCCTCTTCTCCTTGCTGTGAAAGCAGCACGGCGAAGATACTGCCAGCTGTTTCCTCCCCAGCGAAGGGCAGGGTGCGAGGCGCAGGCGGGTGGCCGAGCAGGTCGCGGCCTCGCCTGGGATTCAGGAAAGCGGGTGTATCTTCCTGGCTTGGCCCGCTGGAGGACCTTGGGCAGGTTGCAGCCTCTTTCTGTGCCTCGGTTTCCCCATCTGTAAAATGGGTGTCATGATCTGGCTCTACTGAGGAAAAGTGCTATGTGAGAGGTAGGTGTTAATAAACCTCAGGTGGGCTGAATTTACACTCCTTGAAGCCAAGGAGATGGGGGGGAAGTGGTTTTAAGCCACCTTTCTGCTCCCCACAAGCTGGCCCTGTACTAGCCCAGGGTGTAATTTACAGCAGCCTCAGGGCTGCTCTTAGTTATGCCAGCTGTGGCTCACATCCCAGACAGGGCCCCATCCCAGCATGCTCCTCTTGGAAGGGGGAAGGGTGGCCTAGAGCCAGCTGGTTGCCCCCCTACCCTAAGACTCTCCCTGTGTCAGGGTAGGATCCTGGGCAGCACAAAGCCCCCCACCCCCAAGTTGTGAGCTCAGTGAGTTGGTGGCAGGACATGGGATGGACCCAGGAGTCCTGGCTCCCAGTATCCTACTGAGAAAGAAACCAACCCATAGCTAGAAAGGCCTGGGTGGAAAAATGTCGGCTTGGCTGGTGAATTTCCCCACCCAGCATTGCTCCTCGGGGACCCAGCCAGCCTCTCGGCCAGCTCCACGGCAGGTGAGGAACAGGTCCAATGAGCCGCACCGCTTGACGCCAGCTGGGGATCTCGCCCATTAACCCCAACGGAGAGATGCTGAGTTACATCAGCTGGGGATCCATCCCTTAGACCATCAGGGAGCATGGAGCTCAGAACCCAGGGCAGAGCATTTCCCCTGGAGTGGTCGGCGCCAGTTCTGGGGGAAGCAAGAGATTCAACTCTCCAACTCGGGATCACCTCCTAGACAACGAGAGAGTTTACTGAACAACCGAAATAAGACGAGAGTCCCATGGAGCCTGGTGCAGGGACCAGCTAAGCCAACGCTCCTGCATTCACATGCAGAAACAACCTTGCCTTGCTGCTAAAGGCTGGGAAACACAAAAGGAATCGGAAGGAGACAGGAAGATTTTCATTCGTTCAGCAAAGCGAGAGATTTCGACATGGGAATTCCTGTATCCAAAGGTCCCGCTCATCGCGCGGGAGCTCTCGATCCTGCTCAGACTGGCGCGGCGGACCTGCCGCTCGCTGCCCTTACAGTCATGCCTGGAGCTTGGGTACCATCACGGATAAGGCCGGGGGCAGCGAAATGGGCGGTCAAATGGCGCTCCTGTTCCAGTTGAACTGGGAAAGGCCGGCTGCTGCTGGAATACCGGCCGCCGTTCTCCACTGGTCTGAGCCTAGCTGAGGCGTTTAGACCAACACCCTGTGGGTTCAGGTCTTTGTAGTTCTGATTGACTATCGTTTGCTCAAGGGCTACTGGAAAGCACTGATCCCCTCTGCTTTAGCCAGGAAAAGCCGCAGAGCGATGCCGGATCTGAGCAATAACACACCCACCACGGCTTGGGTCTAGCGAGCCTGACTGGAATCGTCAGACAAGTCGGTGACAAAGGTCCCGGCCAGACGCAGAGAGCAGGGGAGGAAGGGTTGGGGCTCTCGGGCTGCTGGGGACCGCGGAGAGGAAAGGCACGTTTGGATACAGGCGGGGACTCGCGATAGGGATGATGGGACGCTGGGGGGCCAGTTCTTCCGTGCTGCTCCGGGGCAGGTGGCGGTTGCCGCTGATGCAGGTCTACAAGGGGGGCGTGGGGTGGGAGCTTCCCTGGCTTTGGCTGGAGTAAGAGGTGAAGGTGATGCTGGACTCTGGAAGAACAGAGCAAGGCAGAGTTGGAACAGCTGCTGGGCAGGGAGGGGAAGGCAGTGACATCTGTGTCCACAACAGTGACATGCAGCAGGGCTGTCACACCCCAGCATACCAGGGGCCCAGCATAGGCATCCACCTGCACTGCTCAGCTAACCCAGGCTCTTCCCCGGGGGTCAGCCAGAGCCCCTCCCATCCACACAAACAACCTCGCACCTGCATTTGGAAATGGGTTAGAATCCGGGCTAGCTGGCCCAGCTGGGGGTGGGTTAGAAT